ATGCCTTTCAAAGGTGCCGAGATATCTGAGCTCAAACTTTACAGTGTTTTATTTTTGCTCATTTTTTGCACAATTTCATAGTTCTTTGATTCTAATATTTGTAGTATTGAATGTCTATTTTTTTTTCAATTTTCCAGATTTTTATTTATCTTAACGGCTACAAAGAATTACAAATGTCTAGTTTTCTCAAAGCGAATTATTAATTTGTAATTACAAATTTCTAAGTCTCATAAAACTGGTTTCGAATGCTGAGCAATTGAATAAATGATTCAGAATGCTGAACTTTGATTATTCTAGATTCCCTTCTGTAATTATGAATCCCTTGAGAGGGACACTACTCACTAATTGTTCACTTCCCTCCTCCAGATTCTCACTTTTTCATTTCAAATTGTCTTCCAGAAAAAACAAAACAAAGAAGGAAAAGAAGAAGAAGAAGAAGTCAGCGTCAATCAAAAAAGTTTTCTTTTTTTTCCAGAACAATTGGATCAACGATCGACGGAAGGAGCACGAGACGAAGGAAAAAACGGATATTTTTGCATTTTCTTCTATTTTTTACTCTCCGAACAAATTGAGGATTGGGATACAGAAGGAAGTAACAAAGAAAAGGAAAGGGTTTCTCTGATAGGAGAAAAAAGGAGAAAAAACACCAAATTCGAGAAGTCTCTGGAGAGAAAACGAAACGGAGAAGCCCCTCCATATATCCACAGCTTCTCATATTTTCTCACACTTCTTCCTCTTTTTCCCCTTTTCTACAGAATATTACATCGATTTGTTGTCTTGAAAGAATGAGCAAGTTTTTGAGATTTACTCTGATTTCTATGCTGGCATTGGGAATTCTTGGTGAGAAATTTTTAGAGATGAATGGGTACTTACCTTAAATTTATTAGTCGTGATGTGTCTAAGAAAATTTTGAAGTCTTCCCGGTCCTTAACCGAACAAATTCATTTATTGGAATCTGTGAAATCTTGGATGTAGAACCCGCACAACTTGAAATTTTGAAACTTCAGATTCTGAGATTCTGAGATTCTGAGATTTCAAGATTACGAAATTCTGAAATTATGAGATTCTGATATTCTGAGATTCCGAAATTCTGAGATTCTGAAATTTCAAGATTACGAAATTCTGAAATTTTGAGATTCTGATATTCTGAGATTCCGAAATTCTGAGATTCTGAGATTTCAAGATCCCGAAATTCTGAAATTTTGAGATTCTGATATTCTGAGATTCTGAGGTTCTGAGATTTCGAAATTCCAAAATTCTGAGATTCTAAGATTCCGAAGTTCTGAGATTATGATATTCTGAGATTCCGAAATTCTGAGTTTCCGAAATTCTGAGATTCTGAGATTCTGAGATTCTGAGATTCTGAGATTCTGAGATTCTGAGATTCTGAGATTCTGAGATTTTGAGATTCTGAGATTCTGAGATTCTGAGGTTTCGTTCGAGATTCTGAAATTTTGAAACTCTAAGATTTTGAGATTCTGAGATTCCGAAATTCTGAGATTCCGATATTCTGAGATTCTGAGATTCTGAGGTTCTGAGATTTCGAAATTCCAAAATTCTGAGATTCTAAGATTCCGAAATTCTGAGATTCTGAGATTCTGAGATTCTGAGATTCCGAGATTTCGAGATTCTGAAATTCTGAAATTCTGAGATTCTGAGGTTCTGAGATTTCGAAATTCCAAAATTCTGAGATTCTAAGATTTCGAAATTCTGAGATTCTGAGATTCTGAGATTCTGAGATTCCGAGATTTCGAGATTCTGAACATTCTGAAATTCTGAGATTCTGAGGTTCTGAGATTTCGAAATTCCAAAATTCCGCAGATTCTAAGATTTCGAAATTCTGAGATTCCGAGATTCTGAGATTCTGAGATTCCGAGATTTCGAGATTCTGAAATTCTGAGATTCTGAGATTCTGAGGTTCTCAGATTTCGAAATTCCAAAATTCTGAGATTCTAAGATTCCGAAATTCTGAGATTCTGAGATTCCGCGATTCTGAGATTCCGAGATTTCGAGATTCTGAAATTCTGAAATTCTGAGATTCTGAGGTTCTGAGATTTCCAAATTCCACACTTCTGAGATTCTAAGATTTCGAAATTCTGAGATTCTGAGACTCTGAGATTCTGAGATTCCGAGA